CAAGGAGGATGAGGAGGCAGAGGGAGCCCTGGTCGCAGATGGTCAGAATATCATTTGTCACTTTGAACAGGGCTGTTTCTGTTCTGTGGGCAGCACGGAAGCCCGAATGGAGGGGTTCGAGAAGAGGGTGGTGGGAGAGGAAGGAGCAAAGCTGAGAAGCAACAACTCGTTCCAGGATCTTGGAGAGGAAAGGGAGATTAGAGATGGGGCAGTAGTTAAGGAGTAGAGAAGGGTCCAGGGAGGGTTTTTTTTAAGGATAGGAGTGATGACTGCGGTTTTTAAAGGGGTGGGAACAGTACCAGAAGACAGGGAGAGGTTTACGATGTCAGTGAGTAGAGGGGCAAGGAGGTAGAGCTGGGAGATAAGGAGAGGGTTAGGGATGGGGTCGAGGGAGCAGGTGGTGGGTTTCACATGGGTTAATGGTGGTGATGAGAGAGAATGAAGAGACAGGATCAAAGCTGTGGAGGGAGGGATGGGTAGGGGCCGGGGTGGGAGAGTAGATGGGGAGGGGGTAGCAGATGCAGTGGCAGAGACAGCTGAGCGGATTCCCTCGACTTTGGATTTGAGTAAGTCCAGCATCGCCTCACAGTTGGCATTTGAGGTGAGGATGGGTGAGATGTGAGAGGGGGGCAGAGGAGTCAGTTCGTGCTAGAGAACAGGTCTGCAAGGCAACAAACCACAACATTCTTGCAACTGAATCAAAATTCTGAGTACATCACAGTTATAGAGAAAGCAGAGAGCCACTTATGGGCACCAATTGGGAATAAGGAAGGTGCAGAAAATTGGTCTTCACACAAAATACAAATTGGCTTCATTGCTAATTAAAACATTCTTCCACCAGAAATTGTATGATTACAGTACATCTACATCTCTGCCTTTTTTTCTCTATTAAAAATCGATTCTGTAACCTGTTGGTGAACAAATGTAAGAAAGGAAAAGCTTCCTCTGCAATGCAAAATGATCTTCTAAACGTGACGACAAATACAAATAGATTCTTTAAAATCAAAAAATAAAATGCATTAAAGAACTACTTCAATATAAAAGTTTAATGTTTCTTTGGAATTAACTAAAAACAAGAAATGCTTCCCCGGAAAGGTTCCTGTCCACTAAAATGATTCAGGCATTAAATTAAATGTGATATGGGGTCTATATTTCCAAAACATCTCGAAGTACTTCACAAATGTAGCAATTGTGTAGCTGTAGGCAAACAAGCAAATTATAGTCCCACAAACAGCCATGGAGTGAATGGCCAATTTAATTGGTGGATTGTTGGCCAGGAAACTGGGAGAAATACTGCCTTGAAATAGTGTCACAATATCTTGGTTTAATGTCTCCTCCAAAGGTAGCCACTTCTCATCAATGCAACAGTTTAAGAGTTGGAAACATCTAGTTTTCTGCTGTTACAGCACATGTTGTGCAACACAAATTATGTAGGCCAGAGAAACATGGAGATGCAAAATTTCGGGGTCAGGTGGAGAATGTCTTAATACAGTGAGAAACCCCAAAATGGAAAGTCATTCCCAGTGCAAAAGCATTGGCAGCCAAACTCCTTTTAGTTTGATGGTCACGGCAAATTCATTGAGGCAGAATAAAAGGAGCTGTATTCCACATCCAAGCAAATCTAAAATTAACCTTGGGAATTTTTCAAATTGCTATTGGGATTTCTATCCCGAACAACAAACAACAACATAATTATATTTGTATAGCGCCTTTCACGTCGGGAGGACGTCCCAAGGCGCTGGACAACCAAGTGTTTCAGATCCAAGCTGGGGGTCAATCAAGTACCCAGATCTTTTCCCACTATAAGTACTGTTCACTTATATATATATATACACACACACATACACATACATACCACCATATAAGCCCAAAGTTAAGCCAGAAGGGAGATTAAGGGTCATTTATACAGGAACATTGGCTTAGTTCTAATAGAAATTTGGGTCCATTGAGATTTTTGCACCGATGCAGTTTAAACCTATACACAATCATCCCGTCCTCTTCTCATTCCATCTCTTCTTCCCTTTAGTTGATTACATTGTGAAACATTCAAGAGGCAAAAGACAACTTAGATATCGGAATCTTTATGCCACTCCTCCTCAGCAAAACTCAGGTACAACAGCAAAAACTTGGGACTTATATAACACCCTCCACGCAGGGTAGCTTCTCAGTGCGCTTAACAGCCACAATGCTGTGGATGCTGTGGACGCCTTACTGATTCAACTGGCTTGTGAATTGTTGGTTGTCCAACAAAAATGATCAGAAAAATTGAAATAGGCAGAGCCCATTCAGCCCCACGAGCCTGTTTTGCCATTCTATAAGATCATGGCTGATCTGCACCTCAACTCCAATTACCCACCTTTGCCCCATATCCCTTGATAACCTGACCTAATAAAAATCTATCCACTTCAGTCTTAAATGTGAATGATTCCAGCATCCACAGACTTTTGGGGGAGAGAGTTCCATATTTACCCCATCGAATCCCTTTAAAAAAAATCAATCAGATCAGCCTTCAACCTTCTAAGCTCAAGGGAAGACAGTTTGTTTTCAATCTGTCCTCATGATTTAACCCTTTTAGCCATGGTATCATTCTGGTGAATCTGTGTTGCACATCCTGCATGGCCAATATATCCTTACTGAGGTACAGTGCCCTAAACTGAACGCAGTACTCCAGGTGGGGTCTGACCAAGGCTCTATATAATTGAGGCATCATTTCCTCCCCTTTATATAGTTTTAATATCAGATGTGGTATCTTAGATAATTATTTAATGCAGTACATTTTGTTATGAAAATATATTTAATAAAGCTAGATATGCTGGAAATCCACAACAGGTCAATCTGCATCTGAAAAGAAAAATAGCTTGATTTTCAGGCATGACTTTTGCCATGAGTAGAAAAACTGAGTGACCCTAATATAGGTCACACGATCCCACGATTGATTTGGGTAAAGAAGGTCCTTTGACCCATCTGATCTCACCCTTCCAGAACCACCACCCGTCCCTTGGAGTCCTGTAGCTCAGTGGTTAGAGCACTTGCTTTGCAAGCGAGAGACCTGAGTTTATTTCCAGGCAGGTCAGGGCGAAACCTTGGGCAAGTTTCCTTACTCCACACGCCTAATAATAATCCCTCCAAATCCAAAAACAATAATAAATTGGTCATTTTCAATCTACGACTGTTTGTGGGACATTGCTGTGCGCAATTGGCTGCAGCGTTCGCCCACAAATATACAGTCAATTCACTTTACAGTGTGTTCTGTGAAGCGCTTTGGGACGTCCTCCCGACGTGAAAAGTGCTATATCAAATGCAAGGATTATTATTATTATACTTGTAACGTGCAGTTACTGTATTTTTTAATAATACCAGCACTGCAAACCCAGCCAAGATGATAGGAGTACAAAGTCTTGATTTAAGGCTTGAACCTATGACCACCTAACTTGGAGGCAAGAGTGCTACCAACTGATTCAGGTTCACATCTGCTGAATCAAGATACTCATGTGAAAGGCCTCAGCAAAGAGAGACGCCTGCTGTAAAATTATTTATGCTTTCCTTCCGTGTGCTGAGTGTTGGGTCACTGTAGGCCAGCAGCTGCTCTCCCCTTTCACCTCTAATCCACTTCTCTGCCTGGTCCTGAACCTGACTGGAGGACATCCTTGCTTGTAACGAAATCTGGATAATAATAAGGGTAATAATCCCTTCAAAATAATAATTTGGTCACTCAATCCACGACTGTTTGTGGGACACTGCTGTGCGCAATTGGCTGCCGCGTTTCGCCCACAAATATGCGGTCAATTCACTTTACAGTGTGTTCTGTGAAGCGCTTTGGGACATCCTCCTGACGTGAAAAGCGCTATATCAAATGCAAGGATTATTATTATTATTATTATTATATAATCCACCGCGCTCGAGATAAAAAAGATCAAATGCAAGCACTATTATTATTATAAAGGCCAACATCTCATTGACCTTTTGGATAACTTTTTTTACCCATGAGCTTGTTTTTAGTGATTTATGTACATGGACACCCAAATCCCTTTGCTCTTCCACAGTTCTTAGTTTCTCCCCATTTAGAAAATATTCTGTTTTGCTATTTTTGGATCCATCCTGGATGACCTTCCATTTCCCCACATTGAATTCTATTTGCCACAGTTTTGCCCACTCACTTAATCTGACCAAGTCCTTTTGTATTTCCTGCTCCCATCCACACAATTTACTATGCCTCCTAACTTTGTGTCATCTGCAAAGTTTGATATAAAGTTATCTATTCCAAGTCATACAGTGAAAAGCTGAGGCCCTAGTACAGACCCCTGGGGAACATCACTTGTCACGTTAAGTATAGATTCCTCAGTATGTTCACTAGATAGCAAAATCAGCTGATAGATTCAGAGAGCACGTGGTTTAAATGAAAAGGGAGAAACAGACAGGGAGGGGAGAAGATAAATAAGAGTAACTGGAGGAAGATTTTCTCATTTCCTTTCAAGACAGAGGCATGTGACTTACAGGACAGGACCTAGCTCAGGGCAGTACAGATCATCTGCCTCTTTGGTGAGGTTGGTCTATGGCTGTGGTGGGCAAAAAGAGAAAATAACACTGAATCCTCAAACAAAAGGTGTTCAAGTCTCTTATAAAGTTTTTAATGTTTCTGTGTGAGTTTCATAATAAAAGTCTACTTAGAATAAGTACACCCTGTTACACTTACGGTTTTGAAATGGTCCCTCAGTAAGCTGATAAAAATAGATGCTGTCTTTCAGTTGGCCTTTTTCCATTGGACCAAAATGGCAAAGAAATACTATCCAAAAACACTATCATTCATACACTGCTGCCCGAAACTGGATCACAGCAGGAATCACTTAGCTACATCACCCGCGAGTTCGATAAATAACCAGATTGGAGCTGATCACACACTGAGCAGTGCACTGATGTCGAGCTGGGTACCTAAGGATTTCCAAAGAACAACTTATGCACTCACAGGAGGCTGCCACTGAGGTGGAGCCAAGAATGCTTACCTCACCAAAGGCCCCGCGACCAATCACTTTCAGGATTTCAAAGTCTTCCTTGTGAAGTCGCATCTGCTTCACCTTAACAGAGAAAGGTTTGGCTGAAATAGAGTGAAAAAAACAAAAGAGCATTACTCCACTTGAAAGGAACGCTGAAAAGGAAGTGCTGGAAGGTTGTACATCAAAGGAGCTTCTGTTGACAAATTGTTTGCAACTTGTTGCAATGGGCTTTAACAGTAAAGGAGTCTATACAACAACAACTACAAAATTACATTTATAGAGAGCCTTTCACGTCGGGAGGATGTCCCAAAGCACTGATATAATTTGAAGCACTGACACTTTGATCTATTACTCTATGTCATTTACAAGTTGATACTCAGCTTTCGAGGGGAGAAGTACAAAATTCATTTAAACCTTCAATTCAAATGCAATGGATGCTGTCCTCATATTATGCCTTTGCTACTGCATTCATTGCTCTCATTTTAAACATAAATGTGTGGCAAAGATTTCCATTTACATCAACAGCAATTAAAAAACATCCTTAACCAATGGCCTAGATTTATTGGATGAAAAAAAAAGCTCACAACAATAACTTGCACTTATATAGCACCCTCCACGCAGGGGGAGAGAGGTATGTGGGTCTCCTCAGAGCTGAACTGGCTCCAAGGTGGCATGCCTGGCAATGGAATGTCGGAATCGAGCCAGGCCTCTGTGATGGTATCTAGTCCTGTTCCTAAGCCAGGCCGGGGCGCAGTATTCCAGGGCACTGCTGATGACAGCACGCCCAGCCTGGCTCATCGGTAGGACCTGGAAAGGTAGACCAGTCACTGGGGCTGGGAGTCATCCCACTGAGTTCCTGTTAACCTTGCAAGCCAAAGCCCGAATGGGTAGTGTGGTCCTAGCAATGGGAAAACTTGCCAGATAGCAATACCAATGGCAAGCTATACAGTTTTAGCTGGTTAGATTCCAACAGTTACCCCAACGCACACTCTGGGGTCCCCAAGCCATGGCTCTTGCAAACCTGCGCCCAATACTTTCCAGAATTAGGTAAACAGGATGTGTCCCTCCAGGGAGAGAGTGTATATTCCATTCCAGCAATCTATCACTGGGATTTTCATGTGTAGGTGGGATGCATGGAAATGTTAGTTCAGTTTGGATACTTGAGTATGGTGATGTGTCATGTGTCAGACACCCGACTGACCCCAAAAAAATCCAGTGGACCAGATTAGAAACGCCTTGCGTTTTTAAAGCATTCATCATGCAGAAAAGTCTTAAAGTGTTTGACAATATTTACTGTCAAATATAGTAGTTGATTTTGTAGACATAAATGACACCATTTTACACACAGCAGCAAGATTCCACAAACAGCCATGAAGTGAATGACTAATATTATCTGGGTAATTGTTGGCCCAAAGACTGGAAGACAGAAACTCTTCTCTTTTCGAATAGTGTCATGAAAGCTTCAACGTCCAACTGAAAACGCAAACAAGGCCTTTGCCCAATAATAATTCTTGGATTTGATAAAGTGCCTTATCACATCTTCGAGACGTCTCAAAGTGCTCACAGAATACACTGTAAAGTGAATTGACTGTATATTTTGTGAGCGAAACCTGGCAGCCAATTGCATACAGCAGTGTCCCACTAACAGTCGTGGATTGAATGACCATATTATTACTAGAGGAAGGTCTTGAGATGTGCCTTGAAGGAGGCAAAGGAGGGAGCAAGATGAAGAAAGAGTGGGATGGAGTTCCAATGGGTGGGGCCAGAGACGGTGCGTAATGGTTGATATGGGATTAGCCGGTGACAGAGGTAGGAAGGAGCAAGGACGAGGAGAGCTTTGACTGTGAGGACGAGGATTTTGAACTCTATCCTCTGGGGGATGGGGAGACAGTTGAGGGTGGGGGTGATCGGGTCACAGAGACTAGTTCGCGAGAGGACAAAACAGTGTAAAACAGAATTTTACAGCATAGAGGGATGCAATTTGACCCTATTATTTTTATTCTCTGAAAGTGCCATCTCCCCTGACTCTTTTTGCTGCGTACTCCTTCACATTTTTCTTTTTCAAATAGCTACCAACTTAGACTAGTGGAAATGGTTTCTCATTATTTATCTTGGGGATGGCTAACTTGCGGCTTGAGTGTCTATTTCACCTGTGCGTAATAGGGCCCACAGGCCACAAGTTGGCCATCCCGGATGTAACTTATCTCTCCTCTCAACCCCTCTGTTCTAATGAAGATAAACCTCAAAGGATTGGCAACCATTCTCTGCAGTCTCACCAGCATCTAAGATCCAAGTGGCAATCGGACGAGATGCCAGGAATTGTATGGCGCTTTTTAAATTTAATGACACATATGGGAGACAATCCATTCCGTATGAAGTCCACGATTGATGGCGGGGGATGGGGGGAGAGAAGAAGGAGAAGAGATGGAGGTTTTGATGGTGAGATTGGATTCCAGTGTTGAGTATAGCCTGAATGGTCTTTCAGTTGTTGCTCATAACACTCAATTAAAGCACAGTAAATGGGCTGCAATAGTTAATCACTATTAAGTGCTTTGGCCAATGTCCACTATGAGATATGCCACTGGAAAGGAAACAGACTGAACTGCTTCATGAACTGTCTGGTTATGCATTATTAAAAATCAATGTAATTATAAAGTTGCAATCTGTGTATTGGATTCAGGCAATGGTTATCGGTGTCTTAGCATTATTCTCTCTGAACACCTTGATGAGATGGCTGCCTTGTAATCAGTCCGGGCGTCCATTACACTGTTAAAAAAATGTCATAGCATTGGACATTCAGGACTCCCACAGGAGAGATTAATTTTCTAGCCTGGATTGATATTCCAAACTCAAATTTCTTAGAGAGGAGAAGATTAAAGATTAATCTCAATTCAGTTATTTATGAGGGGTGTGAGGGGGAGGGGGGGTTGGAACGTGAGCTATGAGGAAGTCTTTGGCTGCTCGGTGGGGGGGGGTGAGAGTGGTGGTGGGGGGGGCGGAGAGGAACAGAATACAGTTGCTAAAATTTCTCCATTTAATTCTGCATGCCAACGATATAGAAACTTAAATTACAATAATATTTCTATAATACTGTTTAATAAATCCTCTCCTTTGCCTTTGTCATAACCATTTGCAGAAAAGCAGCAGTGAATGGAAATTGTTGCATAAATCATCTGCTAGCAATGTGAACAATGTGCGGAGCGTACACTCAAATATTTTCTGCAACTAATGTTCCATTCCATCTATGGTGTCACCTATGCCATACACTTTGAAAGGCTTTACAGCTCTTGTAGCTGTTAAATAAGGCATGTTGTAGTGCCGGATTTATGAATCTAAAGGATAGTGTGGTAACAAAGCATATGAATAGTCCAAAGTTCTGTGCTGAGGAGGCAGGACAATAGATTTTTATCCTTCAGCTACGTTAATTTACACATAGAAAATCAAAACATGGAAATCAAGGCACAAGATGAGGAGTACAAAGAAATCAGATGTTGCTTGCAAATATAGTAAATTTACATAGAAAAATGACTCAAAACACTTTATAGAAATGGAATGAGTATCTGAACAGGATAGGAGATGAGGATAGGGAGCTATGTGGAAGGATTTAGGGAGAAAGGCTCAGAGTGCAGGGTCAGAAAGGCTTAAAATGTCATTCCCCCAATGGAGGGATGGAAGACATGAAGCAGGACCGAGTTGGCTAGATAGGGCAATAGAACCAGAAGAGATTAAAGAGACTGGGCAAAACCAGGAGGCATTTGAAGCTAAGAACAAATATAGCCCTTCTGCTTAAGAGCTAGTGAAACCGGGGAAGGATGGGAGTGAATGGCTCCTGGAGGCTTGTGCAGAAGAGAATGTGGGCTGTGGAGGTCTGGATGATCAAGAGTCTGTGAGGGATAGAGTTGGGAAGGCTACCGAGAGAGGCATCAAGATCAAAATCTGGACTTGACAAAGTCATGGGTGAAGGTAGAATTGGGTGTCACATACATACATGTGGAAGAAGACCTTGTGCCTGCAGATGATACAACCAAGGAGTAGATAATGAAAAAGATTGAAACAGGAACAAAAGCTGCAGAGACAAGAGGCTTAGGGATCCTGAAACTCTTAAAAACATTCCAGTGCTCTGAGACACTATCCTGCCTGAAGGGCACTGTATAATTGCAAGTTGCATATCTCTAATGTACATTTCCAGAGTAAAACTGGAGGAATGTGCAGACTGGAGAGCGTTGCTCAATCAAACAAACAGGATTGTGCTTCCATTTTGAAACATAAATTCAACCCAAATCCTCAAAGAATAGTTTATAATGTAATAATAAATAATCCTTGTATTTGATATAGTGCCTTATCACGTTGTCGAGGCGTCTCAAAGCGCTTCACAAGATATATTATAAAATGTATTGTGTGGATGACACGTGCATGTGGCAATGTGACAGGTACAACAGTATTGGTAGCAGACATACACTACAACATTTCCTGGTTCATCCACAAGTGGGGAAGTTTTTTGTGCCTTTTTAAAAAATGTCTTACAACTCGGTGGAGGGACGGACAATACTGGGGTTTTCATGCTTTTGTAGCAATATTTAATATTTGTTTCACATGCCAATATTTGTCAATATAGAACACAAAGTCCCTACAATGTAAATTTGGATGATTCTTTAACATAACCTGATGTAATCACTGACTTTGAATGGTAGGCTATTAATTGATTATTATTGTGAGGTTACATATTTTGGGAGGATGAATGCAGAGAACAAGTATACAACAGGAGGTAAATATTAAAAGGAGTGGAAGACCTGAGAAACTTACAACACCTTGCATTTATATAGTGCCCTTCATGTGGGATAGCATCCTGGTAGCGTCTGACGCCAACCCAGTGGGAGAGGGAGGGGGGAGGTGACCAAAAGCACGGTCAAAAGGAATGGCTTTAAGCTAGATTTGAAAGTGGGGAAGGCAAAGGGATTGAGGAAGAGAGTTCCAGAGTTTTGGGGCGTCATGGCTGAAGGTACGGCCACCACTTAGGGGTCAACATAAATAAATCCTTAAAGGTAGGAAGTCAGGGGTTCAAATTTGTCGAAAATTAAACATAGATATAGAACACAATTTC